GGGGCTGCAGAAAAAGAAATTGAGGACTTATGTCCTCAATTTCTTTTTCTATTTCAAAAGGGAAATGTCAGGGGTCTATTTAGACCCCAGAGATTTCGCCGCAGCCCCCCAAACAGTAAAAAAAATAAAATACAAAATAATTAAAAAATAAATAGAAAATGTAAAAAAAATAACATTTAAAATGCAAAAATGGCTTGGCCAGCTGATTTGAAAAATGTTCCGGAGGGCTTGGCAGCGAAAGGGTTAAACAATGTATTATCATTAAAGCAAAAGGCTTGCCACAAATATATAGAAATGAAATCTTACCGTCTCACAAGTAAGACACCTTGTTTCATTAGTTAACGTTCCCTGAAAGATCTCATGGACCCAGGTGGGGTCTGGTGTGCTGTTATTGTTCTCATTGTCGATGTTACCGTTTGGTATTCGGCCATTTTGTTTCTCTTGTCTTCTCTCCTCCTGCAAAATGTCAGCTATTGTGTTGAGCAGGTAGTTTAGGAACTCATGGGCATCCTGCTGCATGTAGTTATCGAAGAGTTCTGCAATGGAAGTAAAAAGTTTTCAACAGTTTTAAAACATAAAATATTGTTATAGGAAGTGTTCTGAAAACCTGCTATATAAGGATTAAAATTCAAGAGTAACAATGTAGAAGGTGATGATCTAGAAGTAGCTCTAATAAAGCTATTGGGTAGCTACATTTTTTATGAGCATCTCTCCTGAAGGGAGCCCACAGCAAGTTTTAGCTGTGGATATTTAAAGCTCAACAATACTTTGTTCGGAACAGAACGACAAAGGATTTTTTAGCTGCCTGCGTGCCCATAGGGGAAATGTAACCTTTATCTTTGTGCCAACAGAACATAAAAGATGGGGAACGGGGCAGCAATAAAAAAATCTGAAAGAGGTTCTAAGCCTTCTATACTCTACTAAAAAAGTGTTTTGAGTCCCCAATGGCAAGAGTCCTTATCTGTTTCTGTCCATCGAACATCTTGTCACCAGAACAAGAAGTAATAGGAAATCTACTATGGGAGATAAAAAACTGACAGGAAGCTTTATCACTTGTGAACCTTATTAACACAAGAGAGTTTTGGTTCCATTTGAGCTTCAAGTGCTGAGCTGAATGCAGAGCTCTATAAAGATATGATTAAAGCCTTCTCTGGAGATGGTCAGGCCTGCCAAGAGAGGATACTTCTAAGCTTCCACAGATAACCAAAACAATTACATATACAGAATATTTTCACCCCTGCCTTCCTGCCAGATAATGCACCACTTCGTGCAGAAAATTATTGCAATTACAAATATTTAGGCATTCTCATGTTTATTTCTTTTGTTTGTATTGGTATGACACAAAAAAGTGGAGGGGAAAAAAAAGAAAAAAGCCAAATCTGAAACATTCCATTTTCTCATACCAACCAATTGCCCACTGTGTTGCAGCAACTTTACCTCAGTAGTGAATTGAAATAAAAAATATCAGCTGAGCAGAAATGTACATTAACTCATTGTTTCAAAAAGTCATCCTCAAGTCCTACCAACCTGGCAGGTTTTGAAGATTTGGGGGTAACCTCCTATACGGTGGAGTAACTGTGTGTCTCAGTAATCCGATTTAACTTTGTCTGATATTGCATAGAACAAACTGATGGTGGTACTTCAGGATTAGTCTGGTTAACAATAACAGAGGACCAATATAACCAGGGACATGCTGCAGTAGCTTTCCATGTTGAAATGTGTAAAGTCTGGGTAAAGCTAACAATAAACTTCTCTCATCTTCACCCATATGGTCTGTTTATGGTCTGTATATACCATTGCAAGAGTTTTGGTTAATAAGTGCTTGCTCAGAAATCCTCTCTGCCTGTGCTGCACTCTCATCAGCCAGCTTTGTTCCCAGCCATCTCTGTGGACTTCAGAATCCCCCTCCCCAGTTGAGAAGAGGAGACCGGTTTTACCTCAGTCTTGAAACACTTATTGTCCTAGGGTGACAAAGCTGCTCTTCCACAGATACAAAAAAGTGAGAGATTATTGTAGCCCTACTGTTACCGGCAGGATCACCAGGGGAAAAGAAAGAAATCTAATGCAGCCACCACATCTGAAGACTAATATATTTGTTACGTGTTCCAGTTCACATCGCATAATTAAAGTGGTTACTTACTTGTTTTCTGAAAACTCCAAAACGTTTTCTCTTTCTACATAATGTTGAGGGGGCTGGGGAATTGATGTTTATCATCACTGTGCTGGAAGATCTCATTATCAGTTAAAAAACAGATATGAGCCCTGTCTGTCCTAACAAAGGGTTCAAACTCGAAAAGTAGGGATGCACCGATACTAGTATAGGTGCCGATACCAAGTATTTGGGCAAGTACTCGTGCTCGCCCAAAAGCTCCCGATGCTTATCCATATACTGGAACCTCCGGTAATACAAGGTGACAAGGAAGCTGGAGCCGGCTTTCTGCCCAATCAGGAAGCCGGGCAGTGCTCGTTTGTGTCAAGGTTCATTACATAAAAGTTATACTCACCCAAACTCTGCATCGGCCAGCTGTCACAGCGCTCCCTCCAGCCTCTTTCCTCCTACACTGCAGCACTGGAATGTTGCCCAAGCATCCTCACTTTTATACACTGTGCATAGAAAGTGATCATTTATGGGGTCTTAGACCGCTGAAAGAGTGGAGAGAGGCTCCAGGGACCGGTCTAAGACCAAGCCAGCTCCACGGTTCAGGTGTACCTTTTTTTTGTAACCCAGGCAAAAAACGAGCAGTTAACCCTTTCAGTGCAGGGGCAGCCCTACTGCAAGGGTTACTGAAACATTTTACACGGAAATATAAATATAATACAGGGGTGGACAAATGATATGGAATTTAGGAGCCAGTCTGTCTAATCCAGGAGGCAGCAGGATTTGTTTTTAGAAGCCAGTTCCACTGACAACAACCAGAAGAAAACCTCAAAAGTTAGGCCCCAGCTGTGAACTTTAAGGAGCATTGGCGACATGGCTCCTGAGATTTGTCCAGCCCTGATATAATAAAAGCTCAAACCTCAGATTTCAATAAACAGAACCTTTTCAATGTGTGGCCTGCCCAGCTGCATTAGAACGAGCCGAACATAAGAACAGTCATAATGTTCAATAGAAGTTCTGAGCGGCACTGACCACACAGGATCGCCCTCATTCTCTAATGGAGTGGTTCTTAAACTTTTTGGTTGCGAGTGGGATTGTTTTTTTTTTTACACTTTTATCCCGACCAATAACCAATGCTCTTTGTGATAAACTAACCACATTGTTTATAAGCTACATCTCGTAATCAGTTAACACACTCATACACTGAGTGGCCAGATTATTATGACCACCCCATCAGTACTTTGTGGGCCACGAGATGACTTCGTTGGGCCGCCTCGTGACTCCATGAGATGTTGAAAGGTGATGCGAGGAATCTGACACTGCACTGTTCCCCTTCTGTTGTCTTGTACCAGTCTTGCCACTCTCCATTCTGCCCTAACATTGACCAGTCGCTGACGGCCACAATTCGCACGTTCAGACCCAGATTTTCGGCTGACAGTCCAGTCTTTAAACACTTTAACAACAGTTGCTCTTGAACATTTAACGAATTCTGCGGTTTTGCTGATACTCGCTCCATGGCTCCGAGCGCCAACAATCATCCCACGCTCAAAGGCTGTTAAATCGCGTTGTTTACCCATATCTTCAGAAAAAAATCACTTCTACTGTCGTGGTAAACAACCTGCTTCCCTATTTATAATGGTCTGGCCCTCTAGCCACTTCAGCGCAAAATTATAGCCAATTATAGGTAATTTGTCTACAAACGTCAGGTGGTCATAATAATCTGGCCACTCAGTGTAGATCTATAGCTATAACTCCTGACAATGATTTTGCATGACCTGGACTTTCAGTACTCCAGGCGCAGAGCGCCACGCAGCTCCACTAAAGCAGCCAGACTCCTCGGCACATGTGAAATCTCATAAGGCATTTCAATAAAAGGAAACCTGTGCGGAAAGAAATACGTGGGCTGCCATTGCAGACCTTTGCTTCTGAAAGTGCTAGAAACGTTATGCAGATCTGGAGTTGTGACTTCAATGGCGGAATGTTTGTTTTAGGACTGTTCCTCAAAGCATTGAGACTAGACTCAGCAAGGATCGAGTGAAATCCTATCAGGGGACAGGAACTCCCATTGCTGCAGCTGGGAATTCAGCCCTCTCAATGAGAAGAGGAAAAAAGTGTTGAAGAACTCGGGGCAGAAATATTGTTAACCCTTGCATTGGGGCTATCCCTGCATTGCAAGAGTTAACTGCTTGTGTTCATCTAGGGACAAAAATTAAAGAGACATACTCACCTGAAATTTGGAGCCGGCTGGCTGCTAGTCTGGTCCCTGCAGCCTGTCTCCTACGCTGCTCCAGCGATGGTATGTCCCTGATTATCCTCCCTTCCTGTACACTGTATAGGACCTTAGACTCCTGGAGTGGAGGGAGAGAGAGGCTACAAAGAACGGTCTAGCAGCCAGCCAGCTCTGAGGTTCAAGTGAGTATAACTTTTTTATTTTTTGTCCCTAGACAAAAACGAGCACTTAAAGTGACATTAAACCCTCAGATTTTTTAACATAAAGCAATACTGTAATGTGCGCCTTACTGTAATCCATGGTTGTTTCCCTTCTCTTTGCTGCTCTTCCTTTTAAATCTGTATCTGTTCTCATGCTGGGCAGTACTTCTGTTTTGCAGCAGACTGCCATGTCTCAGGAATGGATATATGGTGTCTGTGTATAGGTTTGTATAGGCTTGTAACCTGAGCCAGCACTACAGGAAGAGGCCCTGAGCTGAAAAGGGAAGTTCTCCCCAAGCATGAGAAGACATGAGGATTTAAAAGGAAGAGCAGCAAAGAGAAGGGAAACAACCATGGATTACAGGCACACACTACAGTATTGGTTTATGTTAAAAAATCTGAGGGTTTAATGTCACTTTAACCCTTGCAGAGCAAGGGTAGCCCGACTGCAAGGGTTAAGATTATTGCTCCCCAGAGTTCTTCTTTAACTGTGCTGCTTCAAACCTTTGGTCTTACAAGAAACAGCACCGGGCCTCAGCACTACCAAGTATGGAAAGATGGACCCATGTATCCTGGTTCTTAGGGAGAAGCATGTCCAACAAAAGATTATGTCATATTATACTCTTCACAGGAACGAAAATAACATTAGTCACAAATAAAATCAACTGAAAATGACCATAAAAGCCAGAAACCATAAAGCTGCTTCCCCTGTACAGGAGATGTAATACCATCATAATCCTGCATCATCTAATGATACAGGCAAGACATTATATGCCTACACAGCCTTGTCACCAGAGTAAAACAATGTCTGACATAGAGGACAATATGCCAGGTGGGCGGAATGCAGATGATACATCCAGCATAATAAACGTCCTCAGCCAGCTCAGTCCACGAATATTCATAAACACGGTTTACTGCCTTTTATGTGTATACGAGACAACAATCCCTCAAATATATTTTACTTACAGACAAATGAAAATCAGAAACAAGGAAAGTAATTTTGCATAG